TATGGTGCATGCGTTCAAAATTATAACATACACGTTGTCGACCGTGTTTTAGTTGAGTGGGAAGTGAGTGTTATGAATATCACGTTCTGTATTTCAAAATATTGGCCTGTGTTGGATATCATGCACCACTAAACATTAATTGAGTCCGTAGGCGTGTTAGCGTGTACATGTATATGCCAAGAGAAAATATGCCATTTCTGTTGTCTACCAGATTAGAGAAAATTATAATTTAATTTTATGCAAATTATGCGGCCTTTCCATATGATATTCTCTTTATTAAAGAAAATCTATGACACAAAAAATGGGATCTAGCTTTTTAAATTTAATTTCATTTCATTAAAATCATGATTACCGATTACGTTCTAGCAACAACAAATAACATAGAGCTAAAGTGCATGGTTTGCATAAAAAAAATCAACAACATTGAATAAATAAAAAAAAATACTTACACTATTTCTTACCTATATGTTCTAGGAAAAAAACATATAAAAGTAAAGTACATGGTTTGCAAAAAAAAAAAAAAAAAAAAAAAACAACACTAAATAAATAAATAAAAAAACACAACAGAAACACAAACATTTTTTTGTTTGTGGCCTTCGCTACAGCTGTTAGGAGACAGCCTGTTGTAATGTTGTAAGCGTACACGTGTACGGTTCTTTTCAATCAAGCTGATTCTCCTGACATTCATTCATTATTTATATGATAACACGTTTCATTTTATTATTCATTGCAGTCAAAGAATGATGTTTTGATGTACTACTTTTTCATTGGAAAATAATGAAAAGTCAATCATTTACTTTTTTTCTCTGAAAATCCGGTGAGTTCTCGTAAACTGAATGAATTCTGGTGATGATTGGAAATGGCTTCTCATACTGACATTGACTTGAAACCAGAGGAAGAATTTGTTAGTACACTATCACCAGAACTGTTACAGAAAGCCACACGAGAACTCAATGAAAAACCAGAATGGCGACAGCGAGATATTCAAGCTCTGAGAGACATGTTCACCAAAAGACCAGACATAAATTTTTGTTCCGATAATGGATTTCTTTTACGATTTCTACGAGCTAAAAAATTTGATTATGAACGTGCCTTTCAGATGTTAGTGAACTATTATGAAATACGTAAGCAGTATCCAGGGATATATAATGAACTTTTACCTTCCAACATTAAACATATTTGGGACAATAATTTACAAGCCGCTTTACCAAGCCGAGATCAAGAAGGTAGAAGAATTGTCATTTTTCGACCAGGTAAATATAATCACTGTTCATTTGTACATGTGTATTCGCTTGAGGCTACACAAGTTGGCCTGATTTGTGTGTCAATATAATATTATATTTTTGTATTTGCCTTTGAAAGGGCGTAAAATGAAATGGACAGATCAACAACAACATTAAAACTATAAAAACACTCATACATGTAAATCGTTCAGGTTCTCGTTTCTGAATTTCCATAGACAGGTGAGAAATTTATTTGATTTTTTTCGATGTATTTATTTCCCAAATTCTTATCGATTGCCCATGAAGCTTCACTGAAGTGAAAATTAAATTTGAAAACAACTCCACCTGAGATATTAAATCAATAGTTGGTTGTTCAGCACTTTCCACTATTGTATTGGTCAGACCTAAATAGAATTTACATCTCAAGTGGTTAGTTGATTTGCAAACTAATACATGTATAGGATTTACTACCTGTGTGAAATTATTGCAAAAAAACACACATTTACTGCACACTGGAACTGTAGAAAAAATCCGCCTACAAAAACTATAGTGACCCATCACCTTTCAGTTTATTATTAAGCATTAAAGCAATTTACAATCGAAATGAATTCTAGAACAAAGGAGCATTCATTTGCTTACAAAGTTCAGCGACATTATAAAATTTGGCAATTTCATTTTTGAATTCTCTAATATGACATTTATATTTCTTTTTTATTATTTTAGGGAAATGGGATCCCTCGGAATACCCAGTACAGGATCTAATTAAAGCTAATTTATTAACAGTAGAAAAATTATTAGAGGATGAAGAAACTCAGGTGAATGGTATTGTGTTGATTGGTGATTTAAAAGGTTTTAGGTTTAGCCATGCCATGCATCTTGGACCACTCTTTGCTAAACAAGTCACATCCATATTTCAGGTAATACTCTACTGGTTACAGTGTATATGATAATGCCTGATAAAATAAATTGTGTGTTTCTGGTGACAAAGGGTAGGTTAGTAGATATAATTTTTTAGCCCATGGTTCTGACTTTGTCGAGCAGAGCTTATCATATTAGTGATTGTCCGTTAGCGTCCACATCAACTGTTTACTTTTTCAAATTTTTCTTAAAAATTACTAGTCTAATTGCTTTGATACTTAGTGTATATATACCTTGGGTAGACCTTTTATAGATTTGTTCATTTCGGGATGATATCTTTAATTTTCTAATTTTGATGAATATGAAGATTCCGTGTTATGCATGGAATTGCACATTATATAAACAGAACAAACGCCACAACACAACACATGGTGCGACAACCACCAATCTTTTACAATGAATTTATAATGTGGATGATAAGCATATGCATAATATGCAAACACTGAAGAATACTTTATTTTAGCTGGAATTAATTTTCGCTGAAACAACTTTTTGGATGTTTTGTATGGAATTTTATTTTGATGAATTGAATGTAAAATTTAGGAAAAAAGGTATACTGTAAATGGGGTAATTATTCACTGGGTTTTAATTTAGCTTATTTCGCTGACTGGAAAAATGCGCTAAATTACAACACAGTGAATATGTAAAATTTAGCATAGAACACATTATCTAATTGACAAAACCGTGAATTTAAAACCCACTGAATATGTCTGAAATGGTAAATCAGTGAAATTTAAACCCAGTGAAAATTATTCATTTTACAGTATTCACTGGATTTTATTTTCACTGAATCATTCCTTCAGCGAAAATTAATTCCAAGTGAAAATAAATTACTTTACAGTAGGTCATTTTCTATTCACTACGAGATACTGTGTTATGCATGGAATCGAACTTGTAAACAAAACACACAAAGATCATAGCGTTGTTGTGGCGTCAAAACATTGCGTGGAATACAACAAACACACAGTATCCTGTGTGTATTTTCATGCTTAATAATATGCTATACACATTTGATGATGGTCTATTTTGATGGAGTAAGGGTTTCTCAAAGATCGTCTTTTCGACATTGAGCTACAACAAAGAAAATTCATAATTAAAGCTGCAAGCAGCATCACAGGGGCCCAAGTATACATGCCATTAGACTGTTGACAGTCCCTCTGGCCTTACGTGTGTGTGTGTTTTTTTTTTATTATTAATATTAATCAAACGCCGTAGGCGTTTGCGAAATGCCGAAGGCATTTCAAGTGAGGGCCGTAAGGCCCGAAGAGACTGTTATAGCCTGCAGGACTGGCCTTGCTATTAATTATGCATGCATCTCGATGACGTAGTAATAATTTGCATATGGGCGGAGTTAAACTGTTATGCAAAGGTCAAATCCAGGGTTTTTTTT